CGAGGTTGATGAAGATTTGGGCACTGGACGCCATGGTGTTGAAGTTGTTTTCGAACTACTTCTCGGTCAGCGCTATCTGTCGAATGCCTTTTCAAAGTCAGTGAACTTGGGGTGGAGTGAGGTTTGACTCCCGTTGCGTGCTGTTGGATAATAATGTGTAGAGTTTCCATCTGATCAGCACATGATTTGCCTTTCCTCAATCCAGCTTGTTCCAGTGGATAGGTGTTCTGTATCCAGTGCATCTCTTATTCTCTCCAGGATGAAGCGACTTAATATCTTACATTGCGTGGAGGAGAGCGTTATTCCACACCAGTTCTTGCAGAGTGAGGCCGAAGTCTCCCTTCTTTGGTAGTTTGACAAGGTAGGCAGTTTTTCAGTCAGCGGGTACCTCCCCTTTCTTCCAAACTTTCTGGCATCAGCATATCCGCTGAGGTCTCCCTGTCTGTTTCCAGCGCTTCAGGAGGGAGTTCCATCTGGTCCTGCTGCCATTCCGGTCGGTGATCAGTAGCTTGATTGCATTCAGGATTTCCGCTTTCGTTGGGGGATTGGTGTCCACCGGCAGGCAGTTCTGTGCGTGCTGTTGGTGGTGGTGTATTTCTGGGCCAGTTGCATGTGATGGTCGATTGCAGAGTCCTTTGAATTGATTAGCCCATTGTTTTATTTTTCCCTCCACCTCGGTGGTTAGGTTCACTTGACTATCGTTTGTAGGCTTCACCTGCGTTAATCCCTTCCCCTATAGAGACCTGGTTATCTGGCATAACACTGTGAGGTCTCCCATACCTGTAGCTTGTTTGTTCTGCTTCATTTGCCAGTGTGTCATAGAAGTGACTTTTCTTATAAGGATGAAACTTGGGCACCATGGTAGAGTATAATTCCATTGTGGATAACATTTGGTTTTGATAAAGTCACAGTGCTATACAGTGACTTGATCAAAACAGAATTTTATCCATAATGGAAGTGTCTTTTGTCTTTCCTAGCACTCGTTTTCACTTCCATATTCAGTGAGATCTACATTGAACTTAGCTTTTCCCTCTGTTATTCTTCTTTGCATTGAGTCATCTTCTCTTTCACCATCCTGCTCTCTTCTCTTCTATTAGCTTCCAGGTAGGTGTCTGTTGAGAGTCATTACTTATCTTGTCTCTTCTTTCTTCCTAGATTAGTTGTACACGTTTCCTTGAACATCATCTGCTATCAGAGAGCTCCAATGTTCTCCAACGCCGGTTTCCTAAGTGATGCTATGAAGTGTATCTGACTTTGCTGTGATCTGATCTGTGTTGAATGTATCCACTGTAGTTCTGTCCTTCAGTTTCTGAATGTTGAACTTGAATTTTGGCCTACCTCCAGCTGCTCTGAAAGCTCTTACGTTTTCTTTGAAGATTCCCTGAACTAGATAGTGGTGTTAGCCCACATCTGACCCCTTATCGACTTTGTGTCGCGCAGGATGAGTCTCCATTTCCTTGAGATCGAAATGAAGTATATCGAGTTTCAGATGTGTCCGTCAGGCGAAATCCATGCCTGTACAACTGGTGTGTCCTAAATAGATAGGACTAAATATATATATCTTTGTGTTTGTACACTCTGCCTGCGACCACCAAATCACTGGAGGCGCAGGGGTCTGTTAAGAGTTTTCCACTCTCATTCGTTTCCTTGAGAGTCTCTTGACCCATGGTAAATCCTCTTCCCTCATTGCCTACTCCCAGTTTGGCCTCCATTCATATCACCCATAGGGATTTCGATGTCTCCATTTGGGATGTTGTCCACTGCTGTTTGCAGTTGTCTATAGAAATCTTCCTTCTTCTCTCATCCCGAGTTGTTCGTTGCATTGTGCATAACATTTGATGACTGTAACATTCCTTCCTTCCTTCCTCTTGAGTTGAGTCTTGCTGTCACAATTCTGGGTGAAGTTGGTTCCCACTACGTTAGAGCTTTGGCTGTTATTGGTGACACCATGATAGCCACTCATTGCTTCAGTGTGCTTGTGGTTGTTGTCTGTGTGACCAGAACGGAGTAGATTACTGACTCTGCAGTTGATAATTTTGGTAGTCCATATCCATTCAATCTACCGTCGCAGATTCCGAGCATTTCTACACTATAAATTCTCATTTCTTTGGCCATCTGGGCAGCCAACCCAGCTTCGTATGCTGTACTGATATTCCACGTTCCTGTTCTTATAATTGCTTTCATCGAAGGGGGACACATCAGCCGGCTGACTGGCCTTCCCGAAGGTTGGCTTTTATTGGCTGGCTGTGTCGTTTCGCCTCTCCGGTTCCATAGGAGATTTAGGTTGTTTTAATGTATATATTTTTAATATTTTTCTTGTGCGTTGAAGTTTGTGCAGCAGCTTGATTGATTTTCCAGGGTAGGGTAGCTAGCCCCACACCCAACCCTCCCTCTTTTCCTGGGCTTGGTACCAGCTGGAAAACTACCGATCCGGTAAACTAGGTCTCGTTTATTTCCTGTGCTTCTGGTTGCTTAGAGTTTTCGCTACTGCGCCAACTAATTATACTTTCCGAATCTCGTTACGAGGTGGATAACTGTTTTCTTTTCTTGCTGTCTATACCTGACGAAGCCATCACACTTCACTCAGCGCTCTTCCCTTGAACTGCATTCTTCAAACCAAACTTCTGCAGAGTAGAATAAAAAGTACCTGTTACTCCATCTTTTATACTGTGTAGATTTAGGGCTGCCTGAAGCTGAATAAAGGCCACGAGATGGAATGTACACATTTCATCTTACAAGTCTGGTTCTTGATTTCGTAAAGAGGATTAAGGGAATAGTTTACAGTTTACAATTTATTTAGGATAGTAGGCTATATGCCTGTGTTAATCCTTTCGATTTGTTACACACAGGAGGTCCAATCTCGCCTTGAATGAATCAATGGATGGCGCTGATACGACGTGTTCCGGTAGGGAGTTCCAATGGTTCACAATTCGATGCGAAAAACGGATCTCCAGACGCAGACGATTCGACCGTGATTTTGAAACTTGAGGTGATGTCCTCGCAATTGGTTCTTGAATAGTCAACTGCCTAAGGAATCAATCGCGTTGCTGAATCAGCTACTTTATCTGCTAGTTCCGCAGAGTTAAGTTCGTGGTCATTTGTCGTACCTCATTTCGATCAAATTTACCAGAAAGGCCCGTCCTATCCCCTAGGGTTACTTTGGTCTACAAACATCTAGAGAAGTAACTCCAGCCTCCAAATAGTTGGCACAAACATCCCATCTCCTGCTAAGTAGTAAACAGCAGTGTGCTTTGTTTGCTGACAACTTTGCTTTCGAAATTTGATACTCGATCAGTTTGGCAGTAGCGATGCACCTCTCGGACAATCTAATGACTGAAAATCTCATCTGGGGTGGTATCAGCGAAAGTTTGATGCGTAATGACAACTTAGAGCTGTTTTTTAAAGTCGTCCGTCAACATAGCCTCTTCCTATTTAGTCGTTTGGATGACTAATTATAATAGGCCCTAAATGGAAGAGAATTAATAGTTTTATAATCTCAAAAACATGGAGTTTCCTACCTATGCTCATACATTTCATGGACTATTGGTTGCTCCAACACACTCCAAACACGTTCATAGAACTGATTGAGTTAAGGGTCTGAAAACTAAGGCTCGGGTCCTACATATGAATTTTGCGATTGTAGCTTGGTAAGAGAAACTTGTTTTTCGGTGCATGATGGACAGTCGCAGTTATATTCAAGAGGTTTTTTGAAAAGACATCTGCATTTGCATGATTTTTTCCAGATCTATATTTGCACTCGAAGTCAAACTGTTGCGAGTTTTCTTATCATCTAGCAGTTTGAACACCTGTTTCCTTGAAGTTGTGTAGCCAGTTAATATCCTGTTGTCTGTCCGCGCTGAAGGACGCCTACCAAGCAGATATGGTGTATATTGCTCAATAGAGTTGGGCTGTGCTTATATTTCTTTCTGTGTGGTGAAATAATTCTTTCCAGTCTTGTAGAGTACACCACTTGCATAGTTTGCAGCGTCTGGTGTTCAGTTCGCATCCCTTTTCGCATCAGAACCATCCCGATAAGTGTCAGTAGCGTTCGAATCTAGGATAAAGTGAACCCGGACTGCATGCAGCTCCCGTTGGTGGGTGTAAGCTGCAACTGATTAGTCTACATGTCGGATGTGAAAGTCCTTGGGTCACAAGATATATTTCTAACAGAAGAAGCCGAGTCAGAGGCCACTAACTCCACACACTTCCTTTCACGCAAATAAATTGATGAGTATCTGGGGCACATTTTATAAGTTTGTGACTTGCCTCTACTGCGGCCGAAATTCTCAATGAGCTCACTAAATTATAAACAACAGTAGCAGTTATTCTTTGAAAAAGTTTGTGCATTGACGAATTCTTTCCATTTTCGTGTCGGCCTACGTGAGTATTGTGACTCTGGGTGACGGTAGTCTATGGCAACGAGTGCCCACCTTGAGGCTGCTGGATATTTCGTGCTTTCAGGTACCCGCGCCCTGTTTTCCTCTACATTTATGGATGGCTGAGTATGATTTCGAATTCTTCCCTCTACTTAAATGGACGCCTAGCAAGGACTTGTAAGATACGGACTTCTATTGATTGTGGACTTCATCACAGTGCGTGGAGTACACGCTGTAGGAGTCGCAAGGTGAACTGATTAGTGGACTTTCTGCTGCTGATTACACTAATAATCCTTTTTAATGGGTCCGCGAGGTATAGTTGACGTTAACCATGCTCTCAGTGCTCCGATTAGAGCATTCAAGGTTATGTACAAACTGTCTAGACCGATCACGTGCATTTAGTAAGATTATCTAACAGCTGATGACAAATATATTTGGATAAGAGACGTGTGTCAGCTCGAGTTATCAATGTTTTTTGTCTGAAGATAGCTGGAAGTCTCTAAATTATATGGCGCGAGATGGATATTACTCATCCTTGTGTCGGGGTTGGCTAATGTTCAATCTTCGCAGACTAAGTGAGTCGAACTCTGAAGATTTATAATTGTTGTTTTGCTGACCGACTTGCTATTTATGAAGTGCTAATCGTCTAGCAACGATCTGAAAGTCAGCGCACATTTTCATGGTGTTCACATAAGTTCTGCACCAACTCATTAACACCATGCACCTAAATGAAAATCAGATAAGCATGCAAATTAAACATGAAAAACGATACAATACTATTGATCAGATATAACCAGCCTTCCGTGATGTTCTCCGTTTGTACTAAAGTAGGTGAGTAGCAAGATGAACTTCGTAGAAACTCACAGGAAGTCCGGAAGCGTTCTCTCACTACAAAAGGGTCAGTTCAAAAAATTAGTTTAGATTATTGTAGTTAGTAAAAAGGCTATTGGATATGAAAACATGATTGTCAACTTAATGTTTGTAGGAGGGAAGGTCAAGTTGTGCGTTAGACCTTCGAGCCTGGTTTGATCACAGCGGATGACGCTGAACCCTGAGAATTGCTTGTCTCACAATTCAGGCGCCAAAACTTTATATGAGTCAGACTTAGAAGACGAAAACTACTCGTCAGTAGAAAATTATGGTATCAGAGAACGCAGACGTAAGCTACACACTGAAGCGGAACAACGCCGCAGAAATGCTATTAAGGTTGTTTCTCTCTATGTATGTATTATTCTTGATTCAGAGAGGTTTCGAAGGTCTTTTAGAGTTGGTTCATCCGATGAAAAGTGAATCGGCTTCTAACGTGAGGATGAGTAAATCGAGTATCCTAAGTAAAGGTAAAAGTTTTAATGTTAATTAACTGATTCCAGCAATAACAATGATTGAAAGACTTGGAAAACAAAAGCAGCAAAAGCTTTCAGAGGTCGAGAGTCTGGAGAAGGAAGTCAAAGCACTTCGAATATTGTGTTTGTGAGTCTATGATATATTCTGTAATATGGTAATAGGAATTACGAGAAGATGGTTCAAAATAATCCCGATAGTGGCTGTAGAGCGGTCGAGCCTATTTCAGAAGAAACGAAACTCGAAGTTTTCCGCATGTTTTCTGGTGCCTTGTTCAGCTCATTTGAGGACAGAATTGCTTTCAGCTCATTCTCAGACCTTTCAGCATCAGTAATAAACTGGATCGAGGAAAGCTGTAAACCTGAAGTGAGTATTCAATCCTTCATTTTTCTATAGGTGGCTATTTTTCCTCTATATGAAGTTCGATGAAAGCTCCGGTTTTTGCATATGTCATGGTTTGATAACTCTTTCGCTTTTTTGACCAGACCCATGTCTAGGAAACAGTGAATGGGAGCTGGCAAAATGGCGTCCAAAATAGGCCACGAAGACTGATACCATCCTATATTGAAACATCATCTTCGCTTTGTCCGAAGACACTTTTTTGGTCCTCAGAAGTACTTTAAAAGTATAGCCACTGGATATAAGCGATTCTACAGAGTCAGCCATGACGAAGCACATAGAGTTGCCGAATAGTTCAGGTTTTATAGGCTTAGAACAAGACTGTACTTACTGGAGTGTTGTCGACTTGAAAGTTTTCAGCCAGATTGACACTGATAGTGTCAGAGGTGAAACAGGTAGGGGTTGGCCACTTTTATTTTCCCTATAAGGTGAATTTCCTTCGTCATATATCAGCGCCCAGAGAACTACCTAAATATACAGTTTTTTTATTGCAAAGATGAACATAATTTATTTAACTAATTAATTTTTACAATTAGCATATTTAACATAATTACTCTGTTCATTATTGGTTTAGACTGATGGTAAAAGGTGATTGCTTGCCCACACTCTGACGTTTTTTTTCACACAGGACTTTTAAAGCTCTGACAAGTTCAAGGGCATTCCTCTCTTTCTCTAGCAGCTTTATTAGACGAATCCAAGGCGTCTTATGTGTCGGGAAATAGGAAAATTACTAGCCTGCAAAGTGTAGTTTGTGTTTCAACAATCGGCGTAGAGTAGAAGTTCCACATAGTTCAGAATCTAAGTCACTAGCTGTTGTGACCATGAAAGCACTGTGATACAAGTAATACAAAATTGACATCTAGAATGTGTCTTATGGAGATGCCTTTCTGATCTTTCTTACTTCTCCCTGTTTCGTCCTCATATTGTTATTACCTCGTCATAGTATACGATTAGTAATCTCATGGACACTATCACTTAATTCTTAATCAATTGTTCTTTGTCTCCCCGTTGCCATACAGATGGCATCGCTTAGCACCGTACAATAAGTGAAATTGCACACTGCTGGTTTTACGCATTCTTTATACGGTACTTGTTATGTCCGGGGTATGATTGTGAGCTATTCAATCTCCTGAGAATGTTTAGTTAACTCCATTGTTTCTTTAGCCAATGTTCGGATATAATTCCTGAAACTGTAGAAGCCAAGTCAGAGAACAGTTTATGTTTATCTTCTAAGTATACCTTAAATAACATGTTCTATTCGCGAAACAAATCGTGGTCTGTTTTCTATCTATTAGTTGGCTGCTGCTACTGGTAATGGACACAATCACGTCGTTGTGTAGTAATCATCATTTCCGATTGTCTGAGTATTTTCATAGAAAATGCAAACTCATTTTACATTAAAGTTTTTGGGGATGTTTTGATCAGCAATGAAGTTCTATCTGCTATAAATGGCTATTATAGAAGTGGAATGCAAATGAAGTTACGGTATTTTTCTAAAGGTTAATGTTTTCGTGCAGTATCATTACAAATACAGATATACGTTGATCCGTAATAGAGGTGCTTTCTAGAGTTGATTCCATTTTTCTTATAAATAAAGCAGTCTCTTTTCGTTTTAGAAAATGGCATTTGTGATGGATTCCGTTTTGGCCAGTATTTTAAATCAGAATAACGAAAGGTCTTCAGTCGGTTGTCGAACTTTCCATTTTGGTTCTGTACCAAACTACTCAGGGGGTACCAGTGATGGTCAAAGTTACTGCAATTCAATGGGACCCAAACATTCCTCTGCTGGCAACTTACTTCAGATCAATCTTCTAGGCAGCGGTTCTCCGGGTTACTCGTATCCTCCGAATAACTTTCAAATACCTACTCATCCTGCTTCTGGGAGTCCTGCACTGGATTCTGAAAAGTGTGATCCTCATCTAAAACCAGTATTTCCTGTTCAGTCTCCAAACAGTTCCGTTTCGGATCAAGTAGGTATAATCCAAAGTTCATCGGAATCGCAAGGTCTCTTTGACTTAAAGTTTCGGCGACCTGGACCAGCAGACATTTGTGGTGGTGGTGGGTTTTACAGTTTTGGTCCATTTATACCAAAAAATATTAATTCTGTGGTTGATGAGTCATCTTTAACCACTGATACAATCATAAAAGACACTGTATCATCTCATAAAACAAATTCATCATGTGGCATTGTGATTAATGACACAAACTTGTCCAAAGAATTGCCACTTCATAATTCTAGTCATATGCCGCAGTACAAACAATTCATTGATGATTTATTATGATTTTATGTTTTGCACTATCTTATTTTTTTCCTTGCTGGTAAAGTAACCTCTCTCTTTCAGTCTGTCTCACTCTGTGATACGGCTTTCAACTTAATCTCTGCTATCTTTTTTGTTTTCAAATGCAATCTGAATTATTTAACTTGTTTCAGGCTATTTTATTTTTGTTCTTATTTTGTGTTGCAATCACTTTTTAGCCATTGTCTTCCAGATTTATATACTTTGTAGTTAAGTGATAATTTCAACAAGAGAACTGCTCATTTTTTGAGAAACAGATGGGGAGAAAAACCAAATTTTGCAATGCTTTTTTCCTAATAGAATGGATACTTTTGAGTTGGTATATTGAACTGTGATTTTTCCCCCAATCAATGATTTGCATTTGATTGTGGAATTTGTTGCTCTTTTTAGCAGTTATTTACTATGACCATCACTAAAGGATGAGGAAATGAGACTTTTGAAGAGCACAGAATGTTCTTTTTTATTATTTTCTTTCATGGGATTGACGTTTTGATATTACCTTAGGAAGAAATATGTTTATCTCAATATTAAGAGTAGATTTAGGTGATTTATTCTCTGTTGACACTTATGAGGCAGTTGGGTTAGTGTCTTCCAACAGAGGTTCCCAAACGACACGAATCAAGCTTAGAAAGATGCGTGTAGTTCATCTACTTACGGACTTTATCATTTCTTAATTTAGCATACGTATCATATCGTGTTACTGAACAACGGGGTCCCACGTTATGCTGTTCGGCGTAGCTATTTCTCAATTACTCTTGCTATTTAAGTTGGATTATTCCAGAGTTTCTATCTTGACACTAGATGAATGGTGGACAGATTTGGTTGGTGTTCTGGAAACTCCTTCACTGATATACGTCTGAAGATGCTGTCTAGAAGAATATTGAATGCTTTGTTATTGTAGCGTTCAGCTTAGTGAATACAGCAATCGTGATGGCTGATTCCATAATGGATAAGATTTTATTTTGATAAATCACACAGTGTAGTACAGTTATATTAACTGATATCAGTTAATATAACTGTACTACACTGTGTGATTTATCAAAATAAAATCTTATCCATTATGGAATTATACTCTACCACAGTGCCCAAGCTTTATACTTATATCAAGTGATGGTTGATTGATGAACTGTGTTCAAAGCTTACTTTTTAAGACTAAGCATTTTTCCAATGCTATCTAGATTTTAATAGTTTTCTGGTAGATGTCGATTGGTGACAAAACTGTGTGGAAATCAATCGACGACCTACATTATACCCTCTAAATGGATTTAGTCATGTAGATATAAGGAATTTTCATATTACTGAACATTAAGTTTTCAAGACTATTTTAATTAGCTCTATTTAAACATTTTCTTTTACTCATAATGATGTTAGCGGGGGTTCAATAAAATCCCGTCTACACTTTTCAAATCCTATAGTTTTGAGTGGTTTAAAGAACTTGTGGTGTGTAGGGGAAATAAGATCCCTTCAGAGATAACCATGCAACCATTTATTTTATTTCAAACAGACACGAGTTTAATTACATACGGTAATGTCGTAGCTATTCGAATGATTTTATGCGCTTGCCTTTTGAGTTTTTATTCTCAATGAGATGAATGTGTAGAGTGAATCTAGGAGTTCAAACGAAACTATATACTCCAAGTATTCGATAGGTTAACTTTCATTGAAGTGGTCAATGGGATGGTAATTGATTTATTGCTTTGTTCTTGACTGGTTAACCGTTTACATTCCAGTACATTATTCTTTGTTAATTTAATGGTATTGATCAACTGTCTCAACTTTCAAGCGTTGTTAGTTATCCGTTAATGTTTGTGTTTGGATAAGGTGGAATTCTCCTTGTTAGACATCTTAAGCGTTTCACTAGAAGTAATCGATTTCTTATTGTTAAGTAGATTAAATTCTGCGTTGTTCACATTTAAGGCCATTTTGAAAGAAATTCACTTCACTTTTATTTAAATTGATATTTCTTTAAAATATTAGAAATTCTGTGGCATTATTACTTTGAAAATATCATTTTTCTACCACTTCTTTGGATTGTCCACAACTTTTCATCACACGTAGTTACTGTCGCAGTTCAGGCTTTTTTTTCAGTAAGATTCACTTTGTCAAATTGTACATGAGTTAGGCATAAACTGCACATTCCTTTTTAGAATACCATTTAGAATAGAGAATAATATTTAGCTTAAAAGAGGCTTACGTGTGTATTTAGGAAAAGTACTATTTTCCTCATATTTTACTTATAAAGCGAGCCAGACAGTAGAAGGGAAATTGGGTATGCATCAAAACATCGCATACTAATATTTGAACTGTTGCATTCAATGAATGTGATGCTATTATTGTTACTTCATCAATTAGGCATTTTGACGTGAACAGATTCATTTTTTTAAAAAGATTACACCTTGCAGTTTATTTCATGATGATTTAGTATTTTAGGTCTTAGACATCACGCCATATGGCGCCTGTTACTGACAAGAATTCGTAAGAAGTATATCGGTGGCGTCTTCTGCAAGAATCTTGAATAGTTGACCGACTGATTAATTTGCAAAGAGGGGAAATAAAGATCGATTTGAAACAGTACAAACAATATGAAATGAGAAAAGAAGCAGAACACGAATAATTTCTGCAAATTAAAGTTTCAGTGTAAAGTTTTTATGTTTTGCCAAATAATTATGCTACCAAATACCACTATATCGCTGCCTCTCTCTGAGCTATAAATGCTGTGGTTACAGTTCTTTAAAGATGTGGATGTATAGACGACTCTGAAAGACTGTGAAGCTGTTAGATACTTGGTTGGTGTGCAGAAGGCGAAGCTGGCCATCTTTGGAACTCTGCTGAGGGGTCGAAAGAAAGTGGCATCACTAAACTACGACAAAAATAAGCTAAAACTCCTGTGTTTTCAGCTACTTAAGAGTGAATTTGATCAATGTTTCAGAGCAAGTTTACACATGATTTACTGTGTGAAGATCCCCATAAGAAGAAGACCTGATAGCGAAATAATATTTTGTTTTCGACAAATCATTTTGAAGACTTGTACAGTCGTGTTTACATTTAAAAGAAAATTTAAAAAACAATCAAATATTGACATTTCAATACTTTAATTATTACAGTTTTTTCCCAGCTGGTTACAAACGGCTAATAATCTTCAACCAAGAGGTTCATGCCGTTCATATATGATCTACGGAAAGTTCACGAATCAGATATACCTTAAGGATCGGTAATGTCACTGGTGAAATCAGCATGCCATAAAATGTCTGTTTGGTTTCCGCAAAACTTGGAACTAATACGAAGGAAGTTGGCATTTCATAGTATCAAAGATTCATTTTAATTTTCAAGTGAACTAGAGCAGTTAAGTATTTCTGACAAACACCCAGTGAAATATGAATTTTGTTCATTATTTTATAATCATCCCCATTAAAGACACAGTGAAAATCGTATCTCATCAGTCTGAATCGATTCCTTCTCCTGAAAACAAGTTGTGACATTTATTGCTACTTTGTACAAAGGCTGTTATGTTCCAGTTCATTAACCAACGCTACCGACTATGGGTTCGCATTTGAACCCTATCTTGAACAAACATAATCAGAATCAACGGTAGGGAAGACTCCATCTTATTGCAGGTGTGTTGGCGAGATATTTGTTGCTTACAGTAATATAGACTATGCGTCAGTGATGTTTGAAAAACTCAGTGTACGTCACCTTTATATTAAGCTTGCAGTGGATTATGAAATCACCAGCCAGTTAAGCGTTCTGGATCTTGAATATAAGAAAAACAAAGTTCGGCAAAGAGTCTCTCTTCGGCTAATTCATTCACTTAGCGTACAATCGCATTTGTATATAATTATTTTGTGTGTGTGTGTACATTAGGATTGTCAGACAACAATAAAAAATTAGTTAGGGTTATTGTTTACATCATAAGAATGTTTCTAAAATGTGGTGAGTAGTCAGAACTGTAAATATGGGGGTGAAGATTGGTAAGTATTGACAAGGGTTGCGTTATATGAAGTGGGATGATAATGGAGACACGTGTCCAAAATAAATCATGTAATAGGTAGAAAGAGTAAATAAAGGGTTGGTTAAGATGTCATACAAAATAAATCAAAAAGCATTATTAACAAAGTAGTAGAACTTGGAACTGTACCCAAGGTAGAAGGAAGGGGTGGAGAAGTTTCTTCTGTGTACATAAATCAGGGTTTTCTATCCGGATCGCTAAGGCCCTGACAATGCAAAGTATACGAAAGCTCAACGTTTTCGGGAGGCTTCTTTTGACTTTGTAGATGACTTTGAATGAATTTTCTTTGCATATTGACTGACCAGTGTTGACTATATGTTCAATTATAGCACTCTTTATTGATCCACTGTAACCTTTCCGTAGCCTAGCGGGATAATGTTCTTTGAACTTTTAGATAAAACACGCATTGAACGACCTAAATATCTCGCTCCACATGAGCAATTAAATTGGTAGATACACATAAAAGTGGTCAAATGCGATAGTTTATCTTTGAAGTTGTTGAGGAACAACGGGCGGCTTAAGAATACCAACCGTAATGTAGCAGCAGAGAATGTTCTTTTCAGTGCATTAGATCTGGATCTTATCATAAAACGAAGAAGATGATGAGACCATTGAAAAAGTCTGCAGAAAAGAAACAAAAACGGGGCAATACTGAAATTCTCAAAGATTTTGTCCAGTCTGTTACAATCGGAATTTGATTAAAAAGTTGGTCAGTAGGGTGAGGACGTTATTGTTTAGAAAATAAGCTTGATGAAGAGCTCACGATTATTGAATAGCATAGATACACCAGGAAGTCCATATTAAAAGGGAAGAAAAGTCTAGACTAAACCCCATAACGACTAAAAGCAAACCAGTTTTTATCTGCCTGTCATATAAAGGAGAAGAAAGTATCAACGAGCGTAAGAAAAAGAATCAAAGGTGTGTTAGAAGTAACATTTCCCGCCGCTAGATTGATTCTGTTCTATATAGAACGGAGATGCTCATTAATTCTTTCTGAAGTAGATAAGTATCATACTCCAATTGCGTTCATTAAATCAACTACACTTGCAGTAGCAAGTATGTAAGAAGGAATAAAAGGAGATTTTCTGTGCATACCCTTAATAGTCTTTGTATGATAGGTAAGGGAGTGTTTGTAAGTACAAACAATAGACACCTAATTAACTCAGGATATACAGCTGGAATCAGTCAAGACCTCAAAATAATCAATGCAGAGAGAAAAATTTGGTTACTTCGCTTTGCGGAAACAACTTCTATCACACAATTTCAACTTGTTCTCTGTATATCGACAGATAGTTTGACTGATGTTTCACTGACCTGATAACTAGATGTTCACTTTTTTGTTTTTGTTTTTTTTGCATCACAATGTTTTGGTTTTCATTCTATGAGCTGAAGCCATTATTAATCTTCCAATTCACTTAATTGTCTATGTAAAAATTTTACTTTCCTGCAGAAACCCATCATTTATGCCTTTTTTCTCCAAATGTTCACTTATGCAATTGATGGTATCTATCAATTAGAAAATGAAGCTATATCCAACAATATCATCATTTTATTCTTAGTATTAGTTAGAATTTTCGATTTTGTCTTCCAAATGTATCTTTTAAACCATTGAAATTATTTAAAATAATGCCAGCATGTTTAGAAATTCAAGTCAAGATTTTTCCGAACGTTTTACCGTGTAAGCCACAGTTTCTTCAGCAGCGAAACGTTCAGAAAAATCATGATTTTAGTTTTCTAAACACACCGGATTTATTTTCAAGGTCACTTACGCTGTTTCACAATAGTCACTGATCTATTTATTCACCAGCAGAAGAATAGTGGATATCAAGGATAGGTTCTACTAGTTATTGTGATATTTGTCACGGATTTCATTGGTTTCAGGTTAGATCACGGATTGATATCAAGAACCATAGAAAACGAGGGAGTGCTGGACAAATGTGTCATCGTGGTTCGGCCTTTGTTTGGTCGTAGAGCTAAAAATCGCGAAATGACAGGAGTTAGATTTCATGGACCACTGGATTCCGTCCCAGTGTGTATAAATGGTCAGCGAACTCGCCTAGTAATCTGAAGTTACAAAGTCTAATCTCCCGTGGAGTCACGTGTGAATAGTGCTGAAGAGCTCAAAACTAGGATGAAACAACTGTCCAGTAATCTCTGGTCTCCACTGGTTCTTTGACTGACATTAAACCGTGATCAGACTTGAAACATGTCTATTCGTTCGACTGTTTAATATCGGGTTTATCAAACTGTTTTGCAAAGAACTTATATAACTGATATGCATAAATTTATTATTTATCCAATATCGATATATTACTATGGGACATAAAGCGGATGTTATCAGAAAGAATATTCTTCGTACAATAATCCGAAATGTATCTGTTCCTGCTATTAATGTTTGTGTGTATGTTGACACTGGTATAAATTGTTGGGGGAAGAAGGTTACTACGAATTTACATAACGTCATTAAAAAAGAATTCCATCGGAAAAAAGTTTGATTTACTTGCTCAGTACATTTCGAAAAGTCTGTTTACACATCTACTTGTCAATTTAGTTTATGTGAAAATGAATAGAACCGAAGGTCAAATAAATTAAACAAAACAACAGGAGATTTAGGAGAAAGGAGGATAATAGTTGTGACTAATTTTGGTAGTATAATATAGGTGAGGATTACTAGGGTGGGTTAACGCTAACAATATATTGTTCTTGCACAAAGAGAAGAGCTTAATTTCCATAACTGCTATCACAACATATTTTAAAATGCTTTCATATAGGTTTTCATGTATAAACTTGATAGCTTTTTAACGTCAAACTTATCATTAATATGAATAATGTGCTCTGCTGTAGATCAAACTGGTAGTCTACCACCTGTTCTTATCGAGGTTTGGCAGTTGGGCTATTCTCAAAGCTATTCGGGTACATTCTGTCCTACTCTCATGTGTGAAGCACGATTGCACACTCTCATATGTGTATCCACACACACATACAAGTAAATTGGTATACAACATGGAATGTGACGTAATCACCAGTGCAGGCTTGGAGTAAAGCACTTTTTCGCCTTTTGGATAATTATAGTTTGGACTGTATAGTAAGGTTTACAGGTGACAGATTTCAGTCTCTGTCTCGAAATAATACTAATTAATTCCTCTCTGTAAGGTAACCTAATATAGACATCTCTATTTGGGACCTATTAAACTGTTGACTTTGGAGTTAACCTTCCTCTACACTGGTTCAAAAACTTCAAACAATGTTGGTTTGTGACAGTTGTATTAGTCGGTATTTAATTACCGTCATCTATCGTATCAACTGTACATATCCTTTCATTATGAATTGGTTAGAATAGTAATTACTTATTCTGTATTCCATCCACAGAATGAATCCGCTTAGAAGAATCATATCAGCAAACTTATTACTCGTCCAGTAATGTGTAGGTGGTCACGTCATATCTTATTAACTGATTTTATTAATGCACTCGGATGTAGTTAATCCGTTTGATTTAAAGAGATAGAATTTTTTTATTGAATGGTGTTTCAAAATCATTAGAGTATGACATTTTGATGAAATCAAGTGATAGACAAGAATCTGTATTGACGGCTAAATATTTCTGCAGTAGGAAGTAACTGTATTTTAAGCTCTTTGAAGTTCTTACTACTGTGCTATTTTTACCTCAATCTATGCTAGTAATTTTGACAATTCTCATTTGTTACTGTTCTACACACCGACTTATTATTGTTATCATTATTATTATGCTTATTATTAGAACTGTTCTCCTTCAGTCATGTTAAATTTTCTCTCTCTCTACGTGCCATCAATAACTTCAAAGTGCATTACACAAATATATGACTCTTTTATGTGTTTACCATGTCTCTAGTTAATTTTATTATTCGTTCTGAGATGGCATAGGTTCTGGTTTCAAACCATGCCCAACTTATGTCTAAGAAACTGGGTAGTACTGTCACTCCTCACACAGTAAGTACAGCTCGCGGCCTGGAAAGCTGAAAAAAGCCTGTTCCGGGCAACTGAGTTCTGATTAATTATTGACTAAGGGATGAAGTTGATCGGCTACTGTGGATATGACAAGTGGATGCCCATTGGTAGATCCGGATGCCTACTTTCCTTGACGTAACCAAACTGACTTCAGGGTCAAATTATTTAGTAGGACACAAGCGCATGATACCCGACCCTAGTGAATAAATAATTTCTGGTAAGTGTAGATGGCCTTGTTGCAGAGTCTGAACACGAATTAGCTGGTTATCACCATTTCTGTTTAAACAATACGTGAGACCATTAGTTAAAAAAGACCAATCGTTATATCGAAAAATTGATAGATGGATTTCGGCCCGAACGTGGTATTGTGGTGAGTGCTACTCATAATCAGATATAAGTAGTATATCAGGAAACGAATTCAGAAAAAGCAGTCAAAGAAGAGAACTGTGAGAAGAACGTTGCAACACTGTACAGAATCCAGGAAGAAATCATATGTTGTGATATTTGACCAATTCACAAATGATTTGCAAATAAAGACTTAAAGATAAGACATACCAAATTTATATATCTAAAATGCGTTTTTCCAAAAAAAAACATTGCCTCCGAACCTGATCGGTCTTTTCTTTTTTACAGTAGTATACAGTTACGCTGATCATTATGCGGTTATCATTTCGGCCTCATTACCCAGTCATAGACAGAAGTAGCTGCCACTTCAGTAGTTTAGTAGTGAAATTGTTCACTTGAGGATTGTGTAGTACAAGTTAAAGTGCAAAAGAGAACAGGGATTCCTAAGGTAAAATACCAGCAGAGAGTATTTTTGTGTTGAAAGATTCCGAAAGTCCTACAATGAAAAGTTAATTAATCGGTCAAAGCTGTTGCACCAGAATTTCGCTGTTTTTCTTTCCCAGTTGATCTGACTTATTTAGAGTTCTTACTTTTAAGGTATAAAATTCACACAAAACCTTAGACAAAACTATATTTCAGTTTGTTACACTAAACAGTAGTACCATAACACAAATATCGTGTGATTAGTTTAAGACGAGACACGATACTGGCGGGGAAGAGACGTTTGATATATACAAATAACTGACTTCATTAGTCAAGATTGATCTACATCGCTTATTAGTGTTCTTAGATGAGATCACAGTGGTTTGGAACGTTGTGTGACTGTTTCACTCTTTTTGAAAATAAGTTCATCATTAGCGTAAAGAAACTTTTTAAACTTGGAATTCCTAATTTTTCCAGTCACTTTGGGAATAGGAAGACACAGAAAGGTTTATTCAACTGACGTGTTTATTATAAGTTGGTCGGTTCTAGTTATCATTTTTTCTTTGATGATGGGACCACATTGACACAATAGTTCATTATTGTGGTGGATATCACACTGGAATTTAACGGCAACAATTTAGTCTATTTACATACCTTTCAGCATTTGTTTTAGTAAAACTTTGATTGATTTCAAATAAGATTTTCTAACTGTACCTTGGTGATTAACTTAGAGTTATACTTCTTAAAGTTCTGATAATAAAGTTAGGCATCCACGAAATCGGTTATCTGAACAGTTACCCTGATAAATTGGGTGGTAGTGATGATATACTACAAATTTATAGAAGCTAGAAGTCATGCACCATTTAACTGCTAATCACTGACTAAGTAGCAACGTGCTTGTCTACTAAGCTTACGGTCTTGTTTTCTATAAACGACTTAAAAAGCGTCTGAGAATTGCTGTTGAGTATCACAGTTGTTTTCAGTGCTCCACTGTTCCACAAAGAAAAGTACTTTATAAATGCTTCACCCTGTGCGAGTGAATTTTCATTATTTTGGGAAATATAGATTCGAGTTATGATTCAGTTTCTTCCTCTCAAATTTATCACAGGAGCTACGGTGTGAATTTTGTTTCGATGTGTTTATTATAGAAATTCAGATTCACCTGTTCGCAACTTGTTTACTTTTGTAAATATTAGATGGTTAAAAAAGTTTTTTTCCGGAAAACTATCATAAGTAGTTGTTGGTAGTCGGTTCAGAAGGCATTTGTTGACTGTAAATATGCATGAACGTATGACAGAATACTTACTTATGGATACGATCGATTATTATTATTTTTAAATAATCACTTATTATGTGGGTATTTCTATGATTTGTAGACAATACTAAATAAGTGCCAAAGATGAAGAAGATAACTCTGCCTGTGAATATAGCTTATATGATACTTTTTGTTTTGAATTTCGAAACCAGTTTTTGTGAAGAATCTGGTGTTAGCGAGCATTTCCGTAAATTTTTAAAGAAGTTAAATAATTCAGATAATGTTTATTTTGATCCAAAGTGAGTTGAATACTTGTATGTTCTTTTTGCTTTATAGGTTTCTGTGCTTAAAATATATATTCATATTTAGGTATTAGTCGCAACCAATATACAGGATGATACACCATTTTTCCGTTTGATATTAAGACTTTTTAACTCCTATTGAAATTCTAACAGTCATCAATGGTTCACTCTGGGTTATTTGATTCTATTTCTGCATAAGTAGATCATGAACCTTATAAAATTGTTAAAGTACTGCAATATTTCACTCACCCAACTGAAATGTTCAGCAAACCTCCAGAGCTACGTTTATGTCGCCAGCATAGATTCTACTAGATTGTCTAATTTGTAAGAAAAGAATTGAAAAACATGAATGAAGATGATGTACGTCACCAATTCTGGTTTTCAGATTACTCAGGAAAAATTTTTGACAACGGCTGTTACAAAGGCGTCTAAAAGTTTATCCGAGAAATACTCTTTTTTCATTATTATTTCTCCTTCTGAGAAGTCATTTAGATTAAGTTATTTTCACTCCTTGAGTTCCGAGTGGAAAATAGGACTTCAAGCCTTGAAGTTTCAGTAGCATTGGTGTTGTTTGTATTTACGGACTGGGGTTGCTACCCGCTTGCTCGACCTTCAAGGCTTTCAGGGTTTACTACCGACCAGCAGACTAGGTGAGGGTCAGGCATTAGTTGGTAGGGAACTGAACCCTTGGCCTCCTACATGGCTGGGGACTTTCCTAACCACGAGCGCCTACAGCACCTAGTATTCTCAGCCGGTTAGCCGTGCAAGTACCACTCGGATCAATATCGTTTGACTTCGGCGATAGAAGAAGAACTGGCGCTTCAAAGTGGTATGGTCATCGACTATTACATACTAGTTGATAATTCCATCGGAAAGCAATAAATTCTTGTTACTTTTATATGTTAAAGATATCTTTTCATTTAACCGTTCAACTCACTTTTGGCTATGGTTTTCATCCAGTGAAAAGACTTTAACTAGAGTTGACTGAATTGAACAGAAATCAGAATCAGTAGATGATTACTTCTTGTTATAGTGACACAGCTACAAGACACTACATTTGGTTCTTATTTTAGTGTTAATATTAACAGTGAAATGTTTGTTATTCGGGAAAATCACTACTCAAATCACGAATTTATGAGTATCAGAAACATATTATTTGTGCTACTTTCTTAAAACGAACATATTCGATTTTGATACAGATTGGATTTTAAACATTATAAGGTTGACTCTTCTCTAAGGTGCTATTTAGAGCCTTACGTCATTATTGATAAATTTTCAACTTAAAGCTTCAGTTTACTAATAGTATTCGGTCTTTCCATATTAGTTTGTTTATTAGATATATCACACAGTGAAACAGTATTATTTGCTGGATGACGTTCCGAACACAATTTATGGTTCATAACCACTTCATCAATTATAAACACACGACTTCGAAACTTGAGTTTTATAGTTTTCATTGTTCTCTCTTATTTGTCGTAGGGTCAGTAGAATTTTCCAGATGTCTGGGGCAGGTGTTGAATCATCCCTACTACACGTGTTTGCATTGATTCGTTATCAATCTCTCCCTCCACCCTGTCACACTGGAATTTAAAACTGTCATCTGATCCCATCCTATTGTATGGTTGTGTGTATTTGCATGTAGTGCCATAGCTGAACTATTCCCCAGATCTCTTATCTTATTTGGATCAACCACTCTAGATTTTGCTAAGTTTTTATGTTCAGCTAGTCTGACTGCCCCTGTTCTACTAGTAGGTCAAACTTTTTTCGAAACGTCATCCAGTAAATAATACTGTTTCACTGTGTGATATATCTAATAAACAAACTAATATGGAATTACTTACTACCACAGTGCCCAAGTTTTACACATATATTAGTATTCAGCCTTTCACAGAATAGCGAACTGGGTAGCATCATGAATCGTCAAAGAACAACTGTAGCGTTCAAAATGTGGTATATGAAGCAGCTGGAAAATCTACTTTAGCCACTATCATTTCACATATGATAAAGTTTTGAAAATCTTGTATTATCAGGAAAAAAATGAAACGAGAGTGAATAAATGTGACTAGCCAAAAAATGAGAGGACTAGTTGCTTACAGTATGCAGTTATAATAAGCTTGATTGAAGTACGAAGACTACATGTATTTACAAAAGTGAAGGTGAATTAGTTATACTGTATCTCATATAACGTAGCACTTTCTGCCTACCGCTTCCAAGGATTTAACACCGTTCAAAGGCACTAGTTCACTTAATGATTTTTCAAAAGACACACAGATAAATTTTTATTTCTAACTTTAAACCTTATGCATGATTCAGTAATTGAACGCCACTATCATTTCATTTACGCAGAAAGCCGCATCGGTACTGGCAAGTAGTTTGCTGACGAAATCTATACTCAAATTCAGAAAGCTCACTTGATTTCCTCCAAAATATGCCACCTGAAGCAAAGGGGTAAACAGTGCCACTTAGGACAACCCTCTGTTTTATTGTTGTAGTAACATATAACCATTGAAAGTAAAAGAATTACCGATACTTAGTGTATTTATTCCTCATCGCTTAATCATATTTTCTATGATTAATGGAGCTATCATGTAAGCAGTCTAAAAATTAGGCGTAAAGTTCGTTGGTAAGATGAGTAAGACAGTCGAGGATAATACAAATGTTCATTGTCTGAAGTGTTTGGTTCATGTGTTAATCTTGCCTAGTAACTATCTAATTCATCTAGCTTTTGATTGAAGTAGAAGTCAGCAGGAATCAAGAATTATTTAGCTAGGGGTGATGAAACCATGGGAAATTATAGTCTAAGTTTCAATAATGCACCTCAGAATCTTTTGCAGTTCTCTCTTACTTTTGATCATCACACTTCTATATCTTTAACATCTTTTCTCCTCAACCTTCGATTATCTCGTTGCCTCCATTGTCCCCCTTTCTAAGAACCTGGATCAAAGTAGAGCAGTAGTAAATTTCATGTGAATACTCTCTTTCAAAAGGGAAATAAGGCTGAATAGCAATTTAATTGCCGCTTATCTTTGTCTGATTAAGCGTTTTATTTTCTTAGATTTCCAGAGATGGAATATAAAACATTACATGAAATTGATTATCTAACGGATTTAAAATTTGGTCGATTTCATCAATTTTTAAATCTATTTAATGGCATGGAAAAGGATAGCGAAAAGCTGTTCGAAACTCGTCGAGCAGTCGGAGCAGTAGCGAATTTTCTACTTAAAGATACAGTTGCGAAACTCGCTGAAGCTATTATAACAAATGAAACTGGTCATTTTTTTCGTATACGTCGTTATTGGCAAGTATTCTACTATTGCATAACAACATACAATTTCTTGGAAAATGTTAATCCATGCACAAGTGCATTCCAAACAACGTAAGTGGATTACTGTGTGTATTTAATTGCATCTGTGTTTTCACTATAGTATGTGCTCTGTGTTGAGGTTATTAAAAGATAATAAACTGACTAAACTATGGGTTTTTTTATACGAGCTAACCGATGTCAGCTGATGAAGAAATCCTTCAACCAATCAAACAAAATCCCTACAAACCAATACTTGATAACTGGTCTGATGCTCATTAGCGACTACGAAGAGTTCTCCGTTCTCATTCGTTTCCTTGAGAGTCTCTTGACCCATGAAGAATCCTCTTCCATCATTACCTACTCCCAGTTTGGCCTCCATTCATATAGCCCATAAGGATTTTGATGTCTCCATTAGGGATGTTGTCCATTGCTGTTTGCAGTTGTCTATAGAAATCTTCCTTCTTCTCTCATTCCGAGTTGTTTGTAGCATTGTGCGTAGCATTTGATGACTGTAACATTCCTTTCTTTCTCTTGAGTTGAGTCTTGCTGTCACAATTCTGGGTGAAGTTGGTTCCCACTACGTTAGAGTTTTGGCTGTTATTGGTGACACCATGATAGCCACTCATTGCTTCAGTGTGTTCGTGGTTGTTGTCTTAGTGACTAGAATGGAATAAACTGCTGACTCTGCAGTTAATAATTTTGATAGTCCACATCCATTGAATCTACCGTCGCAGATTCCGAGCACTTCCACACTACAACTTCTCATTTCTTTGGCTGTCTGGGCAGCCTTCCCAGCCAGCCTCGTACATTGTACTGATATTCCACGTTCCTATTCTTATTCTTGCTTTCGTCGAAAGGGGACACATCGGCCGGCTGACTGGCTTTCCCGAAGGTTGGCTTTCATCGGCCCGCTGTGTCATTTCGCCTCTCCGGTCCCAGAGGAGATCAGGGTTGTTTTTTATATTTTTTGTATTTTCAATATTTTTCTTGTGCGTTGAAGTTTGTGCAGCAGCTTGATTGATTTTCCAGGGTAGGTTAGCTAGCCCCAAACCCAACCGTCAATCTTTTCCCAGGCTTGGTACCAGCTAGAAAACTAGCGAGGTAGGAAACTTGGCGAGGTTACAGAAGAAATTACTTGGTACAACTGGTTCCCTTGATAAATTTCGATAAAGAAAGGAAGACGAAATTTGCAGTATAAAATGATATCATTCTATTTCACAGGTTCTCATCAGCTGCAGACTACCTGAAATTACAATGGTTATATAAATGATAATAACATACTTTAATGTTTGATTAGTAGTAGAGAAGAGATAAAATTGACGCATCCAAAAAAAGAATGAAAGCATTACAATTTTTAGTCTAAGTTATCATCATCAATTTATACACTTTCAGAGTTGAAAAGAGGGGGTAGGGGTAAGACAGAAAATAGAAAAATTGATTAACAGAAACAGTGTTAGCTTGTAGGTTCACATGGCAACTCCAAAAAACAAAAGCAATTAAAGTTTATAAGATTGAGATTTGCTCAGTGAGTTGAGATCACTGATGACTAATCAAAAACAAAATTCAGTTACCAAGGGAGTGAGAGGTTAATCACGCTCTCTTTCTGTATGCATAAGTCTGGTTTAAATCGTTTGATTGCGATCGCTTCGGCAAATCTTAGTAAATTTGCTGTCCTTTGTCTATTTAATATTTTGAAGGACTTAGAGATCTCTACGAGATGTCCGGTATCAACAATATGTCTGGTAATTGCACTCTGAGAATATTTGCTTCCTTTCAGGCATAGGTTTCTTGGAATATGTTCAGAAAACCGGATAGAAGCCCTTCTTTCTGTCCTTCCAATGTACTTGCTCCCGCAAGTGCACGTAAATTCATAAACGCAGTTGGAGGTGACATCAGCAGGGTATTTATCCAGTTTTGAGTTGATCATGGAAGGAGTGGTGTTGTATACTGTAATGAGTTTTGCTGCCGGGAAGCTTCTATTTATTGCTCCTTTCAGTCTTCTGTCAATCTTTTGTGAAACTGCATCTCCTTTGAATGGGAGACAAATAAATACTTTTTTCTTTTCTACAGTTGGATGCTTTTCTTTCTTATCTTTTTCTCTGCTGTACTTCTGTATAAATCCTTTAGGATATCCGTTTTCCCTCAGGCATTTCTCGATGAAATCTAGTTCATATTCCATGTTCATATTCCATGGAATATGAACATAAAAATGAGTTCAATTTCCTGGATCTAAATGTAAAAAGAACAAACGAAGGCATGATTGAAAAGTCCATCTATAGAAAAGAAACCTGGACTGGACAATATCTTCACTATAACAGCTTTTGTCCCATAAGCTATAAACGTGGATTAGTGAGGACTTTGTACGACAGAGCCAGGAAGCTATGTTCACCAAACAAGGTCGAAGAAGAACTAGATTTCATCGAGAAATGCCTGAGGGAAAACGGATATCCTAAAGGATTTATACAGAAGTACAGCAGAGAAAAAGATAAGAAAGAAAAGCATCCAACTGTAGAAAAGAAAAAAGTATTTATTTGTCTCCCATTCAAAGGAGATGCAGTTTCACAAAAGATTGACAGAAGACTGAAAGGAGCAATAAATAGAAGCTTCCCGGCAGCAAAACTCATAACAGTATACAACACCACTCCTTCCATGATCAACTCAAAACTGGATAAATACCCTGCTGATGTCACCTCCAACTGCGTTTATGAATTTACGTGCACTTGCGGGAGCAAGTACATTGGAAGGACAGAAAGAAGGGCTTCTATCCGGTTTTCTGAACATATTCCAAGAAACCTATGCCTGAAAGGAAGCAAATATTCTCAGAGTGCAATTACCAGACATATTGTTGATACCGGACATCTCGTAGAGATCTCTAAGTCCTTCAAAATATTAAATAGACAAAGGACAGCAAATTTACTAAGATTTGCCGAAGCGATCGCAATCAAACGATTTAAACCAGACTTATGCATACAGAAAGAGAGCGTGATTAACCTCTCACTCCCTTGGTAACTGAATTTTGTTTTTGATTAGTCATCAGTGATCTCAACTCACTGAGCAAATCTCAATCTTATAAACTTTAATTGCTTTTGTTTTTTGGAGTTGCCATGTGAACCTACAAGCTAACACTGTTTCTGTTAATCAATTTTTCTATTTTCTGTCTTACCCCTACCCCCTCTTTTCAACTCTGAAAGTGTATAAATTGATGATGATAACTTAGACTAAAAATTGTAATGCTTTCATTCTTTTTTTGGATGCGTCAATTTTATCTCTTCTCTACTACTAATCAAACATTAAAGTATGTTATTATCATTTATATAACCATTGTAATTTCAGGTAGTCTGCAGCTGATGAGAACCTGTGAAATAGAATGATATCATTTTATACTGCAAATTTCGTCTTCCTTTCTTTATCGAAAATTATTTGGTGTTAGAAACAGTACACAGATGTAAAGCCATGAAAGTATTGGACCTCAATGAGACGAAGAAAGAGTTGTTGCAATTCAGTGACTTTTATCAACTCCGGTTTTTGTTCTCAAAGAAAACAGTCTGCTAGAATGCAGTTATCAAAGAGGTGTTTCTTGACTACTAGGCGTATACCTGAAACCCACTGAATTAGCAGTTAAGAACAAGTCATGAAGAAGGGAAATAACTGAATATGACGAGTACAGTTTTATTGTTTATGTCGACGGTTTAAATCCTCTGCTGAACTAGATTTATACTTATTTGATGAACCAGTTATTCTGATCAGCCAACACTTGTCAAATGAATACTTTTCCAGATAATCCAATATGAAAAGCTTAGCTAAATGATATTCAGATAAGCTTAAGTTTTACCTATCAAATACGACTTTATTATTACTGTAACGGAAGAGGGCAACAGACTTGGTAACGGACTATTTTATTGAGGAAAATCACGCCACATTTATCCATTTTTAGCTACATTTTCAGTTGTCTAAGTTAGTGGATAATAAACTTGCCTGATTTGTTGCTGATACTTTGAAGGTTACACCTTGAGATTAATTCCTGACCATAATGTAAGCTAGATCTAGATTTAAGAAATAAATACTTCTACTTCTGTAACCCCTGACTTAAAATACCGTTTTAATTTTTGGCTACTTCCTATCAGTCTGCGTCTACGATCTCTTGATGATTCTTGTCTGTAGCATATGCCACATTACTATTTACTAGTCTGTATTGCACGGATGTGATATTGACGTGCAGTGAACAAATCATATGCCAGTAAGTGTATCACGATAAACTATTCTCAAACTATTCAGTTAGGCACTAATTAGGCCAATGATTCGAAAAAAAGAAAACGATTTGAAGGTTTCACGTAAATATTTTCGCTAAATCCTGTTAACTTCTACGAAGTTCGAAACTGACTGGTGTACTGTAAAGTAAATTTTCCCTTGTAATCTTATCTGTCTACCCAAATTTCTTTCTAATTTTAGAAAACCATACCCTGATCCACTGTAAGTTCATGGGTGTTGTTGTTTCCATTTCATTTTATTTTTGTCAAGTATTATTTGGTGACTATTACTCTATTGCTTAATTTTCACCCCTATTACCATTGTACACCAAAGCAGAAAATGATTTTACATAACCCCACCAACTTAAGCCTTAGCTAAGCCACTTAAGTCAATCCATATTTATTATCGGTGGTGTCTCCTATTTTTACTGCTTGCGTTCCGCGCAGGACTCAACACTTCAAGCTTTGGAGTTTCAGGAGCAGTGTTGATTTCAGGGTTGCTAGTCTCACCCATAACTTTCCATCTTTCTCGGGTTAACTAGTGGTTAGTCAACTGGGAACCAGACTCGGACTTCGCAGGTGGCTGGTAAGCATTATACTGTCGAACCACCAGAGCACAAGTAGGTTCAGTGGGACTCAAACCTGCCAGGTATACTGGCTGTAAGTCAAAGTCTGAAGGCAGTGAACTATAAAAACACAGAACGCATCAAAAAATTTCGTGTAATCTTTCCTCAGAATTAGTGATAATCTTCTCTGAACAAATTTTATTGTTCATAATCATGTCAATTGTAATTACACGACTTTGAAACTTTAGTTTTATAGTTTTCTTTGTTCTCCCCTATTTGTCGTAGGGTCAGTAGAATTTTCCAGATGTCTGGGGTAGTTGTTGAATCACCCCTATTACATATGTTTCCAGTTGATTCGGTAAATAAAACTTCCGTTATCAATCTCTCCCTCCAGCCTGTCACATTAGAATTTAAAACTGTCATCTGATCCCATCCTATTGTATGGTTGTGTGTATTTGCATGCAGTGCTATAGCTGAACTATTCACCAGATCGCTTATCTTATTCGGGTAAAATAATCTAGATTTTGCTAGGTTTTCGTGCTCTGCTAGTCTGACTGATCATGTTCTACTACTTTGGTCTATGTATTTGACCTGACAACCATTGCAGGGTACTAGATAAACTAGATTGTTTTATTCAATTGGCTCCACAGGATTGATCCTTTAACCGACAAAGCTTATTTCTAATTGAGTTTGTGGGTTTGGATGCCACTTTTATTCCTTCATTGTTAAGAATTCTTCGTAAGTTTACTGAAGTTCCTTCTTTGTATGGAAGTACTACTGATGATTTATATTCCCTATTGTCGGTGTTCTCATTATCATTTGCATGTTTGACATGAATGCTGTCATTAATATTATTATTATCGCTATCACTACTGTTATTATTAATTTTATTCTGTCATTTTCCTACATATTTCCTGATTAATTTATCAGGGTAATTATTAAGTTTCGAAGCTTCTCTGAAAAGCCTCACTTCCTGTCTTAGATTTTCCTTGGTACTACTTAGTTTCTGTGCCCTATTACTTAGACATTCCACCAATCCGATTTTACTGACACAGGGTGGGATGATCTGAAATCCAAATATCGGCTTGAATGTGTGGGTTTCCTATAAATACTACTGTTTAACTTCCCATCTTCTTTCCTTGTTACTTTACAATCTAACATTGGAAGCTCCCCTTCCAATTCTTTGCGTCACTGTCATCAGATGATGGTTGTCTGTCTAACGCTTAGGGTATATTTTAAGTCAATGAGTACTAATTACGCAGAGTTCTATGACAACATTTTATTTATGTGTTTCACTTTGTATCTTTTATTTTTAAAACATAGCTCAGACTTAAATCCGGTTATACAACTCATTTTAGTACTTATATCTGTCTGTCACAGTCGATAGGAACTTAAGTTATTTCTTAGTTGAAATGAGTGATTTAAACTTTTCGCAGGCATCAAAATAGCTAGTTCACGCTTTCACTGTCAACTTTATCCCTAATGGCCTTATCCTTTTCATTTAGTTAACTGACCTTATGACTGACATTTTTATTTTAATTTCGTGATATCTAAAAGTAATAATAATAATAATAACAGTATGCCAATACAAAGTAAACAGAGATTATGCTTTTCTGTTAAGATTATTACCTGGCACTTCCCGTTGATTAATTTCATTGAACTGAAATATTCACTCACTGTTGGCATATCGGCTCCTAATATGAAGTCTTTGAGAATAAACTGTGGTTTACAGTGGAATGCAACTGATAAATCTCTGATATTTCATGCAACCGGTTCCCTTTATTAGTTTGAAGAGAGAAAGAACGAACATATTTGCAGGATAATACGAGCTCGTTTTATTTCGTGGATTCTCATCAACTGCATACATCCTAAACAATATCAAATTATAGGTTTCAAGAAAGTTGTGGAACATACTTTTTCATAAATACTTTGAGTTATAGATAGAAGGCATAAGGAACATAATTCCAGAAATTGATGTAGGTAGACAGATTATTCGGTGTCAAAAAACAACTAATTATATATAGTGGAATTGGATAAGAGGGGTAAGAGTTCAGATTTCTATTGGAAAACAACACAGATTGGTTAGAGGCATATTACAGGGTCAGGGTCAGAGAACAAAGTAAATTTACACATCTTGTGGTGGAGAGTTTAAGAGGGTGGGGGTGAATAGTGAAGTAACATTTATAACTTAAACACACAAACAATTAAGTAGATTTAGAAACTTGAAGGTCAAAATTGAATAGAATGTTGCGTAACAAGACAAACACACAGGCATACTGACAGAAAGGCAAAACAAAAATAAAATAAAATAGAGTTAGGGTTTTGTTTTGCCTTTCTGTCAGTATGCCTGTGTGTTTGTCTTGTTACGCAACATTCTATTCAATTTTGACCTTCAAGTTTCTAAATCTACTTAATTGTTTGTGTGTTTAAGTTATAAATGTTACTTCACTATTCACCCCCACCCTCTTAAACTCTCCACCACAAGATGTGTAAATTTACTTTGTTCTCTGACCCTGACCCTGTAATATGCCTCTAACCAATCTGTGTTGTTTTCCAATAGAAATCTGAACTCTTACCCCTCTTATCCAATTCCACTATATATAATTAGTTGTTTTTTGACACCGAATAATCTGTCTACCTACATCAATTTCTGGAATTATGTTCCTTATGCCTTCTATCTATAACTCAAAGTATTTATGAAAAAGTATGTTCCACAACTTTCTTGAAACCTATAATTTGATATTGTTTAGGATGTATGCAGTTGATGAGAATCCACGAAATAAAACGAGCTCGTATTATCCTGCAAATATGTTCGTTCTTTCTCTCTTCAAATCTCTGATAGGCTGAAGGGCGTACCCTGAACTCCACTATCTAATAATAGTCGGTTGCAAAACGTTTATAAAAGAGGAAAGAAAGAGAAATTTCATGCTCGCTTACAAGCATTTCAGCCCAGCCATTTTATTTTACAGCATTAAAATCTATTTAACCGATCAAATCCCAACACTTGAACTTTGACTGTGTGAATTTGATGTACTTTTTAAATAGATTTCAATACTGAACGATGTGTACAGTAAAAGTGGAATAGAATAAGTTAGTGGAAATGAAAATATGACAACGAATGAAGTATGGAGCTTCATTTATGAGGCTGTTGTTTCCCTGTCATTATAATTATACTAATAAAGCAAGCAAATGGACAGTTTTACATCGGTAGTAATCTTATATGGATAACTTTAGAGTATTTTAACCATGTGGCCTGTAAGTAAGTAGTGCTGTGCTTCTGACAGAATGTTCGGATATGTTTTAGCTATTACAGGATAGACTTGTTAGTTGACTAATGACTTGTAGAGCAACTCTTATGATATAAGTAATCACAAAAAGACAATTCGGGTTAGCGAAGAATAGGCTTTTGAATCATATTAGGTTTGTTCAAATTCCTTTCATATAAGCATTTATTTAAGTGTAAAATAATAGGCTTATTGATAACTCCGTCTGTCTCATATATATATATATATATATATATATGTATATATATATATATGTATATATATATATATATATATATATATATATATATATATATATATATTAGAGACTTTTCATCAGACAATTTTAAACACAATTATCTATTATTTTATGGAACCGAAACAAAAAGCCTACAGTTTTTTATTTAGAAGAGAATTACAATAATGACCTCAGAGACTGATCCATTTATCTCATGTCCTTTTCATTCTACACGTACTTCAAGATTATACAAAAGCGTAGTATTCATATTAATATAAAGTCATTTTTTGATGAAATCACTTATTTTCGGTTGTTTATATACACATAAATGTGATTTTATTATTTCTTACCAGCTAGTTTGGACAAACCTGGTTAGTACATTAAGAGTGTCACTAATAATATGCTCATTATATCTTCTTGTCACATTTTTAAGCCAGTTATATATCCTAGTCATGCTATATTAGGTGAAACCTCTTCACTGTATACTTTACCACTGAAGATGGAGCAAATGTCTTATTAGCTCTATACTTAGAGAAGTAAAAAATATAATCATCTAAATTATATAAATGTAGAACTTGAGAATATACTTTTATTTTTAGCCTGTATAGTAATTCTTAAAAACCCTTTGGCCTTATTAGGTAAAACAGTTCAACATAGCAGTGTAAGACCTGTGATGTCAAATGTACACTTCTGCGTAGATTAATCATATTGCAATTTATAAAAATGGCTCCGGTATTACTTTGAATCCACTAATATATATATTCGTACAATACAGCAGTAAAACTGTATGGTTAATTGAGACGAAATATTGTCAGTCAAATCCTGACTCACCAAATCAATATTCATGACACCAGATAACTGTTTCAAATATCTTTATTATCCCCTTGAAAATCTAAACATGCATTACTCCATTGTGATAGAAACTTAGTGTGAAAGTACAATTATAGTCAGTGAAATGTATCCTAGATGTTTCCTTCAGTAATATTTTCGCTATTATATACTATGTTATGTCTGTACACTGAAGTCGAGACATTAAAAGCTAGGAACATAAACTTAGACTAGTATGCAAAGCATATAGGCTAATCAGGTTATGCAGTCGATAAATCTTGAAGATTGGATGCTTTCAATGTCTTTCAGTGAGGGAACTAAATAATAGTTTGAAAGAAAATTGTTGAGCGTAAGGATGTGTCATAAATTTTGCACTGAGAAGAATGGTTTTAAGTCAGTCATGTTGTGCTGTTGTTATTTAACACACTACCCATTATTTGAAAGATCCCTGCCAGTCGTCTTACGTTCTCATGTCTTGATATTCAGTCTGTCATCGTGTATTCGTAGCCATTACTTTGTCCACTGAAGAAAGAACCAAGTAACTTCTATTTCACCTTACGGTTCTGTTTTGGTGTCCGTACCAGAAACCGATATTACCAACAAAGACCCATGCTTTTCGGTTTATTATATTCATTTGGTGGGGTGTTCAAAATAATTTCATGTGATTAAATTTATTTTATTTTCAATAAATTTTACTAAATTATAAAATTAACTCTATTTAACTCCACGTGAGTAAACATCTTTAATTTTTTTTTTCCTTCAGAAAATATGATGAATCTGAGATGTAAGTTTACATAAATTCACTTAGAAATATCAAAAATATTTCATAATAATTATTTTTCTTGACCTTTAAATTTCTTGAAATCTAATAAATACAAATATATATTTTATGAATTCTATACATGATATGTCCAAATATTTTTGCTGAGCTGCTTCATCATTAAAGTTCATGGAAGAGAAAAAACAAAATCACTACTGGCACTGATATATCTGACCCTGATCTCAGAGTTCTCCTACTCGTGACTTTAGACATGTGACTTGTGAAACTCAACAATTAGTTAAGACATATAGGATACAAAAGGAAGTGATCCATTTACAAATGTGACAGTTAGAAGACTGTATGTAATATTTGAATAGTAAGACATACTGAGTAGATCTATTTCCTAGAGCAATTCTAAAACTGATATCAAAAGTTCAAAGAGGAGGATCTTTTGAATGCATCAACCAACTAGAGTGCATTCTTCTCTGTCCTATATACTGTTGTAACAACAGAAGACAAGGGCCAGGCAACAGATCATTTATTAAGAAAATCAAAGCATATTTATATATTTTCATGTACATTATTATAGATTAGTTAAGCAAACAAACAGTCTTCTAATAGGTTGTTTCTCACTTAAAGTTAATCTTTCATCTATTTGTGACTGTTCCTTGAATGTCAGATCATCTATGTGTTAACTGTATCCGCCTACGCAAAGTCTGCTGTGGTCGGTTTTGAATCAGTCTTGTTCATATATTCTCACGACTAATCTTGAGAACGCAAACACTGACGTAAATTACTGTCTACCAATTTGGCTAGTAGACAGTTCTCACCACACTGTTACTTTAGGAGGCCTGCTTAAATCTTTGGGCTACCTAATTTCCCACAGACCATAATGAGTCGAATTGACTCATTTAATACTTTGTTTGCATCCTTTACTATAGATTATTGATTTGAAGATTCTGTATAGGGACTAGATAAAAATATTGCCTAAAATTCTGACCTGTATGGAAGCATTTTGTGCAGAATAAAGCCATTATTATCATAATAGGCAGTACAAAGACTTAAACATACGTGATACAGAGTAGGAAATCGAACAGAGCATGACAATCAGTTGATAAATTTAAGCGGGTTCATTTAAACTAATACGAATTTGGAAGGTGTGATAAAATGATACTGAAAAGTGAAAAGATGAGAATGATTAGGAATTGAATGAAAATATTTGATGACAGTATTAACTCGGAGAGTTACTGGAATGTTACATCAATAATTATATCAATGATAACGATATTAAAACAGTCATCTACAAGACAGAAGAAACAGAATAAAGAATCTGAAATAAGGAATTTAAAAAATTCATTGGAAAAATCACCATTATAGATAAATTATGACCGTCATTTTCTCGGCTGCATATAAGTGACCGTTTGTTCTATTGGCCTCCAACAATCTCGGGACACTGTATTCTGTTGAAAATGTACTTTATAACGATACTGTAACTTACAAATGAACGCTGACGATATAATTCTACTAATTTCACAAGGATACATAAAAAGGTAAATCAGTTAGAACACCAAATGTAATTAAAGTGGAGATTTCAAACGAAAAAAACTACAGAAGTTGATGAAATATAGGCTGGTACTAGTTCTCCAGTTGAAGTACTGTCAGTTTTAACAATCTTACCGTCTCATTGTCTTATTTTAAGCAGTAAACAGTGGGCTGTTTTCGTTGCCTTCGGGATTTCTTGAATGATATTATATTTTGACAATCTCTTCTCGACGCCTCACTACTTTTTCTGTATTATTATTTTCATTAATTTCATTTTATTATGACTGGACGCACAAATAATTCATTTCTAATTGAGTTGAGGCGAATACCTATTGATAAGTGCATCTAACTTAACGTTATTTGATGAGCGGTGGCTAAAAGTGGAGTCCAGTAGTCATATTGCATCTTATTTAGGACAAATCATCTGGATGCGCATGTGATTCGTAGTGAGTGATGGTACTACCACTGAGACTCGGTCCCAACACCCATCGTTTCAAACGCCCAAGCGTTATTCACTAGGCTTCCTGCACCATGGGGGTCACCTCTTGTCTAGTAGATATCAGTTAATATTTGTTTCAGTTAATTTTGTATTCCTCGTTGATTGATTATATTGGACTGAAATGTTCGGTCTCTGTTGACATGCTAGTCCCCATCCATCAAACAACACCATAATAATCCTCAGACACAGTCGAAGCGTCAATAGTAAGAGCTGACATGTCAGCAGAGATCGAACATCTTAGTCCAGTATGTTTAATCGACTGGAAGTACAAAATTAACACACAACACGATTTCAGAAAGTACAAATACATATTTCACCATGAGCTGACATTAGTTAGAGAACCATTGAAAAACCTGGGAGTACTGGACAGCTGTTTTGTTCTAGTTTTGGACTCTTCATCAGTACGCACCCACCACCTGGGTTCGAAACCAGGACCTTCTTGCTAGAAAGCTAGCTTATAAGCCATTAAGCCCTTGGGACCCGATCCAATGGCCCATGAATTCCAACTTCTGCCAATTCACGATATAGCGCAACCGCTAGCCCAGTGGCTTCGGCGAGTATTTGTCCTCACACTCTATCTGCTGGACCCTACTGCTCATGACTTCCCACTAGAACACCAGGCAACTACCTACCTGAATAGGGTCAGTCGCTAGTGAGCCTCTCATTGAAATTCAAGTTTTGTTCTGTAGGGATTTGGTTGATTGGTTACAGGATTGGGTTCGAACCCCGGTGGGTGCGTACTGTTGAAGAGTCCCAAACTAGGACGAAACGGTTGTCCAGTACTCCCAGGTTTTCCAATGGTTCTCTAACCAATGTCAGCTCATGATGAAATCCTGTAACCAATCAATAGAATCAAACATAATCAAGTAGAATGTGAATGGAATAATAATAAGCTGTATAACTAAGATTAAAATGTACAACTATAGCCTAGTATGATATTTATAATAAAGTTAGCAGTACAAATAAAAATGTTTTCAGTTATCTAGTGTCATCAGGAGGGATAGCTATTTTAGATGGGAGTTGGAAGCTAAGGGAGGGAGAGAGATTAAACAAACTTTCTTTATTGCGACTGCCTCACCTATATTTAGCAATCAAAGGCGTACAAACTCAGGGAATCGAGGTAGCACCTTGTATAAAATTGTAAAGTCTGAATTTTTATCAGTCTTATGTTCCGTATCCACAGGGTGTGCCAGTATAGAACTCCTGACTGACTATGCGACTCCTTTACCTAACCACGTTGGAAAACGCTCAAATAAGTGTATGTAACTGTTGAAGGGAATTCAGCTGGCATCATATAATCTGAAGAAGTTGTTTAAGTCTATAAAAAAGCATGATATATCGATGAAATAAATAGTGAGCAATTTCAAATTTGAAGATGAAAATCAAATTAAATTAAATAAGCCTGAAATGTAAGCTGTTGGATAAAATACCAGGAATAGTGTTCTCATTACCACTCATTGTATGGGTTTTAGACACTAATGAGTGTGTCAATCAGTACAGGTTTATAAACTGAGACGTAAAAACTAAACGATAAAATCAGATTTGTCTTCAAAATGTGGACAGAAGAAAACTTACGAATTCTCTAGTGTATTTTAAACTAACATTTTCCGTTATATACTCCTAATTTCACCTAATTCGGTTTTACCTGAAATTATACTATAACCTTAAAATAACTCTAAAGTGTTGCTGTCGTATATTCTTAGCGCCTCTTGTATATTTTCTGTTATTCCAGTAGACTAGACTAGACTTCCATTAGTTGTCAAGTCTGTGAATTTAGTGTTTGCCAGTGCAATTTTGAAACATGTGTTGAGCATCTCTCTCACAACTGTTTTGACTTTTGTTTGTACACTAAAGGCCTCTGTCAACGGTTCTTGTGCTTAGGGTGGTTGACGTTGTGATTTGCGGATTACGTGTGTTTTCTCACTGCGTTAGATTGGTGGCATTGCTGGTAATTTCATTTTCTTATCATAAAACCTGGGCGAATTATTCCCTTTGTATCATTTTAACTTTGTGCAAAATGTATATCCTGTAACCATGAATTATAAAATATGAATTGTCAGTCAAGAAAATGAGAGAAATTGAACTAAGATGATCTGTCCACACAGAACCTTTATCATCCGGCTAATACCCTATATTTTGTTGACAATGCAAGTTCTTCAGTGTTTCGCTTTTGTTTTTCAGAGAAATAGAATTCATAAAATAAACATTTAACTAGTGCATATTGATCTTAAGATGGTTGTATACATCTGTCACATGTTCTAGTTGAGAAAAGCAGTTAATTTTCTTAACATCTTTGTCGTAGAGGTTTTTTTAAAAAAGGAAAAAAAGGAATAATATTTTTTTTTAAAGTTATACAAAACAACAAAGGTAGCTTTGGTAAATAAAACAATAATAGTGCAATTAAAAAATGCTGCTGACAGGAATCGTCTAGAGATACTGTCCCCAGGAGAAGTATTAAGATGGACAACTTAGCAATAGAATTTATTATTCACAATTTAGAAATATACCACACCTGATTTCATTTCTATTGACAGTGTCTGAGTTACTGAATCTCTTAGGGGAATCATGGTTCAACCAGCTCAGAGAACACTATTATTTTTGAATCATAGTTTAATTATATGAACTGCTATTTTTGATTGAACACTAGTCAGTAACTAGTGTAATGTGTCTAGTCCTATCTTCGGTGCAGACTGAATTCTATCAGTCATGTTTGCAATGTGGCCACCATGCTAGGTGCACTGGGAATTGTTGGTATTATATGATTGGAGGCAATCTGCAGGAAGCCTTGGACCTAGGTTTCGTGCTAGCTGGCACTCATCAGCAAGGCGCAATTAGAAAAAGAATATATAGTTAAAGAAAAGGCATTGGAAACTTAGTAGACTATAAGAAATATTAAGATTACCAGTTATCAAATCTTTTATTGCCTGGGAAGTATTTAAAGTTCCTATACTTCGTGAATGAATGAATGAATGTCAGTGGGAACTCCATCACTTAATAGGACGAAAGGTGCATCCTAGATTCCACTGCTAGTCACCATCCACCAAACTACTGAATATCACTCACTCTTTTTTCTTCACTTTTTTCACTTACTCCATTCTCTTCAGAATTTTAGCTCTCTCTAGAGTTTAGTGTCACTAGCTTTCCCCTTAAACATAAATTATGTCTGTTTTTCTCGAGAATGTCACACTGTATGGGGGACTATGTTAAATGCTGTGAGCTGCACACACCACAATATCACTCGGAGATATACTGATATTTTATTTGTCTATCCACTTGAAATCCTACACATGTCTCAATAGCAGGAAGTAAAGAGTAGATGGAATGTTATTATGCTTTGATCTATCCTTCTTTCATTTTCTTTCAACCTAATTTTACTTCCGTTGATCTAGCACGTTCGGCATGTCAGTAAAAAGGTATATCTAACACATATACCAGTCACCTGAGATTATAGAAATACGTAATCACCTCGTCTGATTTGCACACCCTGATTAAGGTTGTATGCCAAAGGTGGTCTATTTCGAAAGATAATCACATCTTAATTCGAAAAACCGTTTCACACCTGCATAAACATAAATTCGTATGTATTTTTACTAGGATTTCACCGCTGGCGTAAGACCGAAATTTACTCAGTATAGTAGATAAGACAATTGCCCAATAGACCAATGTGGTTTACGCAATATCTTAAAATTTTTCATAGATACAAATGAAACATTTTCTTCTTCTTATTCTACTGAATGATCAAAAGATTCTGTATCGTCAAGTTAGCTAAGAAGTTCATTTCTAATGAAATTCGAAGACGGTAATTTCAATTGCGGAGAGTTTAATTTCATTTTGATGTTAACCCTGAAGATACTGTCTAAAGATACGACATGTGTTTAGTAGTTGAATCATTCAATTCAGAGGACATAACACTTCAAGAATATCAAACCTTACATTGGTAACGCGTTTCTGTCTGCCTAACGCCTGAAGAATATGTCAGGTCTTTTGTATATTAAACTGGTGAGGCACCAGCCTATTTAACAAAAAAATGTTAATCTTTTTGTTATACACCTAAAACACCAGAAAAATGGGATACTTGCTTCTCCTGAATTAAGATGTTTTAGGGATGGATTTTCATACAATGTAAGTAGCCATTGGTGTACATAAAATATTAAAAATCTTAAAAAGTAAATTTTATAATTTGTCGATTATTGTTCAAACTTATAAATCAGCTATTAAATAAACCAATTAACAATGAAAGTTTTCAGAATTTGAAATAATTATATCTGACGAATTTATGTTGAGATTACCAGTTAACTACAGATTTTGATTTCTACATATTTTTTAAAAATAGAGAAACCGAGGAAACTGAAGGCACAGAAGAGGAGTAAGTTCAAGTTAATTTATGAAAAAACAAATGTATTTCCGTCAACTTTACCACAGGAATCAGGTTATTATTTTTATTACTGTTTCCTTTGGTTCCTAGAGGAACAAAGGGCTTTAGCGGCACGCGTCGTTTGCGTTCGGTTCTCTGCCAACGTTTTCACCTGTCTCCACGTCTATCCTTATGCTTTCATCTCCTCTTCGTATCACCTCCTCCGTGTCACCCTCGCACTGACGACCAACTCGCAGCTTCACGTTCAGGTTCCACTCTAGGGCTTGTCTTGTGATGTCACTCGATGGTTTTCTCAGAATATAGGCAATCCACCTCCATTTCTTCCTGCTTATTTGTTGCACAATCGGTTCGTGGTTGGTTCGCTCCCAGAGATCCGTGTTGCTGGTCGTTTCTGGCCAGCCATCTGATCTTGAGTGGTATCGAGTAAAGACAGGTCTGTAGTTTGTTCGAGGTGCCCTTCGTGACGTGGCGCCAAGTCTCTGATCTATGTAGTAGCACTGACTTCACATTGGATTTGAAAATCCGGATCTTATTTTTCATGCTGAGTGCTGTTGACCTCTACACAGACTTGAGAGAAATGAAAGCTTACCTTGCCTTCCAGATCCTTGCTTTGATATCCTCGTCAGTTCCGTCCGCATGTAGTTGAAACTATGTTTCCCAGGTAGGTAAAAGAGGTTGCTTCTTTCAGATTTCTCCCATTTATGCTGATTGTTGTCTGTTGTTGTTGCTGTTGGCCAGGAATCTTCATCACCTCTGTTTTCCCTAGGTAAAGGAGGTTGCTTCTTTCTCTATGTTCACCTGAAGGCCTATCTTTGATGCTTCTTCTGTCAAATTGTTGCTTTTCACTTACATATCTTCCAGTTTGTGGGAAATCAGACATGTACCGCATCGACGAAATCTAGATCCTTCAAGTTTTTTTGTGGGTTCATTTTATGTCTATTTCTTCGCTGCCCGGCCCGCTGTCTGTTCGTTGCATTATCCAGTCTACCGCAATCAGGAAAATCATTGAAGATAGTAGGCAGCCTTGTCTTACTCCCGTCTTCACTTTGAAGGATTCCGTGAGTTCCCCTTTGTGGATTACTTGGCGGGACCCCGTAGTGGCGAAGTAGTTGCCAAATCACCTCTCGATCAACGCTGTCGAAGGCCTTTTCAAAGTCAATGAAGCTGAGATAGAGAGCTGACTGCCATTCCAAGCTTTGTTCAATGATGATCCGTAGTCTTGCGATTTGATCGATGCATGACTTGTTTCTCCTGAATCCAGCCTGTTTCGGTCGAAGTTTTTCATCGAGGGCTTGTTTGATTCTCTCCAGAATGATGCATCTTAGTAGTTTGCTTGTGATAGACAGGGGCATAATGCCACGCCAATTCTTTCATTGACTTAAGTCTCCTTTCTTTGGCAGTTTGAGTAGTTAGCCTTTCTTCTAATCAGCAGGTACCTTACCCTCTTTCCACACCTTCTTCAGTAGTGATGTCATCAAGTCCAGTGATGTCTCTGGGTCCATTTTCAGTGGTTCTGCGGGAATTCCGTCTGGTCCTGCTGCTTTTCCAGTTTTTAGCATCTTTATGGCCTTCAGGATTTCTGTTTTCGTCGGAGGGTTGATGTCCACTGGTAGTTGTGTTCCGCTGTTGGTATTATTGAACGCGTTGTATATGGTGGTCGATTTATAAGTTTTTTGAAGTGTTCAGCCTAGTGTTTCCTTCGCTCCATCTCTTTGGTGATTAGCTTTCCATTGTCATCCTTCACTGGCTTAGTTTGTGTTGAACTTTTCCCCGATAGGAACCTAGTTGTTTGGTAGAGTATTGTGAGGTCTCCTTTACCTGAAGCTCGTTCTGCTTCATTTACCATAGCTTCATAGTATTTTCTTTTGTCTTCCCTGGCACTCTTCTTTACTCTTTTGTTCAGTGTATTGTAGCTTGCATTCAACTCCTGTTTTTGTTGCTCGTCGATGCACTGGATAATCTTTTGTTTCAACATCCTTCTCCCTTCTATTAATCTCCATGTGTCTGTAGTGAGTCACTGTTTGTCCTGTCTCTTCTTTCTGCCTAGAACTTCCATGCAGGTTTGACTCCACACCACTTTCAGGCTGTTCCAGTGTTTTTCAGTGCTGGTCTCTTCGCTAGTGTTGATTTGTGTCTTCGCCTTTTTCCTTATGATTGTAGCGAAGATGTCCTTTGTGGCCTGATCCTTCAGTTTTTGAGTATTGAACTTGGCTTGTGGTCTATCTGCAGCTCCTGTTTCTCTGAAAGCTTTTAATTTGATTTGGATTGTCCCTTGTACGAGATAGTGGTCTGAACCAACGTCTGCTCCTCTTCTTACTTTTGTGTCCAGTAAGCTGAGTCTCATCTTCCTTTAGATTGAGATGAAGTCAATTTGGTATTTGGTTCGCCCGTCTAGTGACACCCATGTAGCCTTGTGGATATCCTTGTACTTGTATACGCTGCCGCCAATCACTAGTTCGTTGAAGGCGCAGAAGTCGGCGAAGAGTTCTCCGTTTTCATTCATCTCTCCGAGAGCTTTTCTACCCATGATGAGTTCTCTTCCTGTGTTGTCTGGTCCCAGTTTGGCGTTCAAGTCTCCCATTAGTATTTTAATATCACCAACTGGAGTATTGTCCATTGTTACCTGTAGTTGTCCGTGGAACTCTTCTTTCTTTTCGATGTTGGCGTTGTTTGTGGGTGCATAGCATTGGATAATTCTCACTTCCCTTCCTTTTGAGTTGAATCTGGCGGTCATTATCCTGGGCGAGATCGCCTTCCATTGCATCAGGAGAGACTTTATGGGTTGCTGCCTTTAGAATGAGGAAAACAAGGAATAAAGCAATCAGAACAACACCAGCAAAAGGAAGAAAATTGACAAAAGGAAGGACAGCGATAACAACAACAACAAAAGGAAACGTAGCAGTAGTATTGTAACGACAGTAGGCAAGAGTCAGGCAACAGATCGTTTATTAAGAAAATCAACACATATTTATAGATTTTCATGTACATTATTATAGATTATTGTTAGCAGGCTAACACAGTCTTCTGATTGGTTGTTTCTCACTAAAAGTTAATCTTTCATCTCTTTGTGGCTGTTTCTTTAATGTCAGATCACCTATCTGCTAATTGTATCCGCCTTCGTAAAGTTTGCTGTTATTCTTTGTTCTTGTTTTCACATGACTAATATTTGGGACATAAACATTGCCGTAAATTACTGTCTACCACTTTGGCTAGCAGCCAGCTCCCACCACAGTATCACTGTCAAATACAGTTAACAAAAATAATATCAAAACTATAGACTCACTGACTTGGGCCAACTTAGGCATGTAAATGCAGTAATATATAAAATTATCGATATTAGTTAGTGTTAAACATTCACAAAATACCAAACAGATAGTCATAGGTATCATCAGCCAAAAATATAACATACACAGATTCAGTGTTCGAAAGTTAAATTATTACAATAAATTCCAAAAATTACTGCAAAGAAACGCCAGAGAAGTAGGAGTTTTATATAATTCACCACATGTAGCGTATTAAACGAAAACCTCGTCAGTATCGTTTTCCCAGGAGTCCGTTCAAGCAAAAAACTGACGCGGAAACGGATGAACCATAAGAATAAAACACATTCCCAAAATAACTATATATAAACATGAAAAAAAGATGGCAAATATCCAAAACAAAACCATCCACACACGATGAAGTTGCACAAGTCAACAAGCGAAAAAATGATTATCAAATGGTCAGCTAGATTTTACTCATGCATGCAAACGAGTCTGTGTGGCAGTTGGATAATGGAATTTGCTACAAAGTGATAGATGATGCGTGGTCACGTTCAGCCTCCGTGTGACAAACAGTTTAGTGTATAGTTTGTCTCCAAAAGTGGCAGTGACATTATCACCTGTAGTAGAGAGTAGGCAGACACGCAGATAGATTGGCAGACAGACAGACAGACAGACAGACATTGTTAATCATTTAAAAAGGCGAACTTAACTTGCATAATCTTTCTTCACTTTCAGGACGCCATCGGCTAACGCAACGTGAGTATATTGGTTTTGCTTTAAAATGTATCTGTGTGTGTGTGTGTGTGTGTGTGCGTGCTTTATAATGACGACAAGTCAACTGTCGTCTGCAGTCAACTGAGAAGGTTAAATTCAGACTGTCGTTTTCGACCAATCAGCCGGTTTTCCTCAACACCTCTTTCACTATGTATCATCATGATAATAATAAAAATCTGATATTTAATCATTTGAAGTGCAAATAAGTTCAAAAGCAGACAGAAAGAATGTGATTCGAGTTTGGTTTGTCGTCTTCACTCAATTCGTCAATTGAAAGGAGTATTTCAGGGATGTGTTTCTTATCATCCATGTAATTGGCTGTAAACTTTCTGCCAATTTGTTATAACCGTAGCGGGAATTAAATGAGGATGTTGTCGCCTTGTTCTGTCTGCGCCTGACTAATATGCCTATCTGCTCCTGGTACCTTCCGATTCAGCGAACCAGGCAAATATCAAAAGACAAAAGCTGGTCTGTGACTGCGTATTGTAGTACAACGACTACTACAAACTACGACAAAGAAACTTATTTAGGAAATGGTATTTATACATTTTTACAACCAATACAGACAGCTAACAGTATTTGAAATAATTGGTCGTAATAGTCAATAACAAAATGCGTGGGAAATGATGATATACTACATATGCGAGATTAACAGTCGTTAAAATAATTGAAAAATAACAAAGTGTGTGGGATCCTATCAGGAGGGAAGGAGGGGAGAGCGAGAGACGGATAATCGTCATTGTAGGTGTTTAATACTGCATCTCTCTTCAACTGACTTCAAGAGACTGGTATTGTTGGTTGGAAACCTCCGACATTTTCATCTCGTAGTCGATCCGACTGAATAATACACCACCAGTGATTGCAGGTGTAAATGCTTTTGCCTGCATGATGTATTGCTTAGCTGAAAGTCGACGATGTTTCTGTCTTACGTTTCCAAATTTTAGATGAAAATCGAGGTGAATTGACTGAAAGTATCTTAATTCCTCATCGGTGACAAAGACGAAATGTGTCACAAAAATATGATGTAATAGCGACGAGGATGTTCGTCTGGATGAATCATTTTGAAAAGCAGTGAAATCCTATTCACATTCAAAGGTGAATTCACAAATCCAATAAAATAGTGATAATTATCTCTGATAAAATGTTTCACTTAATGTGACGAGCGAGTCTACTATAATAGGTCGAGGCTGGATAGCCATTTCATGTACGTCGGCTAGTTCATGTTACCTCGGAATAGTTGAGATGGATGGTCTCATTCGCTCGCTCACCCACTCACTGACTCAGTCACTCACTGACTCAGTCAGTCACACTGTCACACAGAGAAACCTCTGAGGTTATCAGCGGTTCATCTTTCGGTTTCTTCAACAATTTTGTAAGAAGAATTTCTGTTCTCTGTGTTGTATTGTTGTGGTTGGTGAGTTTGTAGAGTTTGCTCTTGTCTGATAGTAGTTTTATTAATTTGTCGACATAATCTGATCTACCCACTAGCATAATTCCACTGTGTTGGTCTGCACACACTGGGATTATTTGTGTCTTTCTTCTTTATTCACTTGAAGTTGTCTGAGTTGTCTTCTGTGTTTCTTCGTGAGAAGATAACGACGATGAAATGGTTTGTTAGACTTTCCACTCGAATTATTCATGCATGAGAACGAGTCTGTGTGGCAGTTGGATAATGGAATTTGCTACAAAGTGATAGATGATGCGTGGTCACGTTCAGCCTCCGTGTGACAAACAGTTTAGTGTATAGTTTGTCTCCAAAAGTGGCAGTGACATTATCACCTGTAGTAGAGAGTAGGCAGACACGCAGATAGATAGGCAGAGACAGACAGACAGACAGACAGACATTGTTAATCATTTAAAAAGGCGAACTTAACTTGCATAATCTTTCTTCACTTTCAGGACGCCATCGGCTAACGCAACGTGAGTATATTGGTTTTGCTTTAAAATGTATCTGTGTGTGTGTGTGTGTGTGTGTGCGTGCTTTATAATGGCGACAAGTCAACTGTCGTCTGCAGTCAACTGAGAAGGTTAAATTCAGACTGTCGTTTTCGACCAATCAGCCGGTTTTCCTCAACACCTCTTTCACTATGTATCATCATGATAATAATAAAAATCTGATATTTAATCATTTGAAGTGCAAATAAGTTCAAAAGCAGACAGAAAGAATGTGATTCGAGTTTGGTTTGTCGTCTTCACTCAATTCGTCAATTGAAAGGAGTATTTCAGGGATGTGTTTCTTATCATCCATGTAATTGGCTGTAAACTTTCTGCCAATTTGTTATAACCGTAGCGGGAATTAAATGAGGATGTTGTCGCCTTGTTCTGTCTGCGCCTGACTAATATGCCTATCTGCTCCTGGTACCTTCCGATTCAGCGAACCAGGCAAATATCAAAAGACAAAAGCTGGTCTGTGACTGCGTATTGTAGTACAACGACTACTACAAACTACGACAAAGAAACTTATTTAGGAAATGGTATTTATACATTTTTACAACCAATACAGACAGCTAACAGTATTTGAAATAATTGGTCGTAATAGTCAATAACAAAATGCGTGGGAAATGATGATATACTACATATGCGAGATTAACAGTCGTTAAAATAATTGAAAAATAACAAAGTGTGTGGGATCCTATCAGGAGGGAAGGAGGGGAGAGCGAGAGACGGATAATCGTCATTGTAGGTGTTTAATACTGCATCTCTCTTCAACTGACTTCAAGAGACTGCTATTGTTGGTTGGAAACCTCCGACATTTTCATCTCGTAGTCGATCCGACTGAATAATACACCACCAGTGATTGCAGGTGTAAATGCTTTTGCCTGCATGATGTATTGCTTAGCTGAAAGTCGACGATGTTTCTGTCTTACGTTTCCAAATTTTAGATGAAAATCGAGGTGAATTGACTGAAAGTATCTTAATTCCTCATCGGTGACAAAGACGAAATGTGTCACAAAAATATGATGTAATAGCGACGAGGATGTTCGTCTGGATGAATCATTTTGAAAAGCAGTGAAATCCTATTCACATTCAAAGGTGAATTCACAAATCCAATAAAATAGTGATAATTATCTCTGATAAAATGTTTCACTTAATGTGACGAGCGAGTCTACTATAATAGGTCGAGGCTGGATAGCCATTTCATGTACGTCGGCTAGTTCATGTTACCTCGGAATAGTTGAGATGGATGGTCTCATTCGCTCGCTCACCCACTCACTGACTCAGTCACTCACTGACTCAGTCAGTCACACTGTCACACAGAGAAACCTCTGAGGTTATCAGCGGTTCATCTTTCGGTTTCTTCAACAATTTTGTAAGAAGAATTTCTGTTCTCTGTGTTGTATTGTTGTGGTTGGTGAGTTTGTAGAGTTTGCTCTTGTCTGATAGTAGTTTTATTAATTTGTCGACATAATCTGATCTACCCACTAGCATAATTCCACTGTGTTGGTCTGCACACACTGGGATTATTTGTGTCTTTCTTCTTTATTCACTTGAAGTTGTCTGAGTTGTCTTCTGTGTTTCTTCGTGAGAAGATAACGACGATGAAATGGTTTGTTAGACTTTCCACTCGAATTATTCATGCATGAGAACGAGTCTGTGTGGCAGTTGGATAATGGAATTTGCTACAAAGTGATAGATGATGCGTGGTCACGTTCAGCCTCCGTGTGACAAACAGTTTAGTGTATAGTTTGTCTCCAAAAGTGGCAGTGACATTATCACCTGTAGTAGAGAGTAGGCAGACACGCAGATAGATAGGCAGAAGACAGACAGACAGACAGACAGACATTGTTAATCATTTAAAAAGGCGAACTTAACTTGCATAATCTTTCTTCACTTTCAGGACGCCATCGGCTAACGCAACGTGAGTATATTGGTTTTGCTTTAAAATGTATCTGTGTGTGTGCGTTCTTTATAATGACGACAAGTCAACTGTCGTCTGCAGTCAACTGAGAAGGTTAAATTCAGACTGTCGTTTTCGACCAATCAGCCGGTTTTCCTCAACACCTCTTTCACTATGTATCATCATGATAATAATAAAAATCTGATATTTAATCATTTGAAGTGCAAATAAGTTCAAAAGCAGACAGAAAGAATGTGATTCGAGTTTGGTTTGTCGTCTTCACTCAATTCGTCAATTGAAAGGAGTATTTCAGGGATGTGTTTCTTATCATCCATGTAATTGGCTGTAAACTTTCTGCCAATTTGTTATAACCGTAGCGGGAATTAAATGAGGATGTTGTCGCCTTGTTCTGTCTGCGCCTGACTAATATGCCTATCTGCTCCTGGTACCTTCCGATTCAGCGAACCAGGCAAATATCAAAAGACAAAAGCTGGTCTGTGACTGCGTATTGTAGTACAACGACTACTACAAACTACGACAAAGAAACTTATTTAGGAAATGGTATTTATACATTTTTACAACCAATACAGACAGCTAACAGTATTTGAAATAATTGGTCGTAATAGTCAATAACAAAATGCGTGGGAAATGATGATATACTACATATGCGAGATTAACAGTCGTTAAAATAATTGAAAAATAACAAAGTGTGTGGGATCCTATCAGGAGGGAAGGAGGGGAGAGCGAGAGACGGATAATCGTCATTGTAGGTGTTTAATACTGCATCTCTCTTCAACTGACTTCAAGAGACTGCTATTGTTGGTTGGAAACCTCCGACATTTTCATCTCGTAGTCGATCCGACTGAATAATACACCACCAGTGATTGCAGGTGTAAATGCTTTTGCCTGCATGATGTATTGCTTAGCTGAAAGTCGACGATGTTTCTGTCTTACGTTTCCAAATTTTAGATGAAAGTCGAGGTGAATTGACTGAAAGTATCTCAATTCCTCATCGGTGACAAAGACGAAATGTGTCACAAAAATATGATGTAATAGCGACGAGGATGTTCGTCTGGATGAATCATTTTGAAAAGCAGTGAAATCCTATTCACATTCAAAGGTGAATTCACAAATCCAATAAAATAGTG